AATAAAAATAAATATATAATATTTTAAGTATGGTAATAGTAAAACAATGATTTATTAATTTAGAAATTTTTATAGGAACTAAAATTAAAATCACTCCCTTGAAATAAAAGCATAATTTTGTTAAGATATTGTTATCCTTATAATCAACAAAATGTTCCAAGAGGTATTACTATGCCCCCCTATTATCTTTGTGAAGGAATTACTTTATATAATGTGGAAATAATTGGGTATCATATTGCAATAGGAATTTTAAGGTCTAAGATAATTCCTTACCAGTAAAGGATGTCTTAATGTGGAATAATGTCTCCATGGACAACTTCCTATTTGTATCATAAAACAATTGCGTTAGTTCCATCTTTTACTTGGATTTGAAAATTGCTGTTTTAGGGTTGTGCAGTTTAAATCTTTGATTGTAGCACTCAGATATGGAGCCAGGTATCTCTAATGCTAAGTCAGTTTGAGGTTGTGACCCACGTTAAAGTGGTTTACTCTGATATCTTCTATGTTTGAAATTTCTTGTCTCCACTTTGATTGAGCCCATATCAGACATGTGTAAAGTTGAAATGACTGAATAATTGGCAGGTTCAGAGAGACCCTTGAACATCTGAAAATAGTCAATACGGTATCATCTTATTCCCAGCAAACTAGTTAATGCTTGGGGGAAATAGGAGTCATTCTATAGGAGATAGTGCAGTAATGACTGAAGATGGGCCATTCTTCGATTTTAAGCTTGTATTTGGGGTCATAATGAAAAACATGTTGGCTCATTTCCTTTGGGAAATTGACATTAGGCCTCTAATATGTTTTCCTTCCACTTCTGCAGTAGGTAAATATGAAGTACATTTTAACATTCTCAAGTAAGAATTCTGTCAAACCCATGAAAGGTAATTGCCGTGCTAGAAATTTCCCATGCAAGTGTGTTGAAAACTGGGACTTCCAATTTTGCATTAGTTAGTGAATCTTAGAAGTCACAGTTCCTCCAGCGAGTCAACTTTTCTTGACTAAATAGATGACCTGCATAGTCAGCATCGACTGCTGTGTGTCTACTGCCGCATTTGTATCTCAGAAAGTATTATATTTTTAAGAGAGTAATGCTGAATAAAAATTAGTTCAGTAATGCAGATAATTTGATTATTGCTAAGCTGTTTTAAAAAAATATAGTTGAAAATAACATTCTTACTGATACCTGGTAAATAGTCCCGATAAACATTTTCAAGCACTGTGATTCTTTTGCATTTTGGATTTGAACTATGTCTTGTTAACATTATTTTGCATTAATGTGCTTTCAAAATGTCATTTCTAAAAAACAAATTGAACTAGTTTTACAAAGCTTGCCTAATAAAAAAAAATGTTCTCTTTAGTTATGTCTTCCTTAATTTATAGTTTAACTTTTAGATTTGATAATGCTTCTAAAAAAATGTTTATTATTAGCATGGGATTAAAAGGGCTATAAAAATAAGTATAGAACTGAATTATTGTAGTGCTATAGTACTTGTAATGAAAGAGAAAGGGAATGTTGAGAAAACATTTTAATGAAGTTAATAAGATCATGGCTTTCTAAGTGGCCTTAAGTATTATTATTTTCAGAGTACTTCCTATCATAGGTGTATCAAAAATGTCTCTCCCAATACATTTTTCATAAAATAAATCTAAATTATATTAAAATGGTTCCTGTCGAGCCAAGTGGAACCCTAGGCATGAACACGGGTCATTATCAAAACTTCAGCAGGAAAGGGAAAACATAGTGAATCGATTTCATATATAGGCTACTGCATATATGAGTAGTAATTAAGAACAAGGAATTTGGAATTACACAACTTGAGTTCTTCCAACTCAGAATTTTGATTATCAGTGTATAAGTGAATTCTCTTTCCATGCTAAATCTAGAGTAGATGTTCTCCTCAGCCCAGTGTTTTCTGTTTTTATTTATTTATTGGTTTATCTGAAGTATGGTTAAATCATTATATGTTTTCAAACAAAAGTTGAATTTATTGTATGGGGCAAGGGGAAATCTTTGGGAATAGGGATAGGGAAATTTGAAAATAAATCCAAAATCACCCACAAAATCCATCTCCTCCCCTCCTCAAAATTAGTGTGAACTTAAAAAAAATTATTTATTTATGCATGCAGAACTGGGATACAGGTGCAGGGGTGGTGAGAGGCTGCACCGGAGACAGAGTGGGGAGCAGAAAAGGCTGAGGGGAGCAGTGTGCTGGACAGGAGAGGTCTGCTGTGCCATGTGGGTCACCTCCGGGGCCAGGGATTGAACTTGTGCTGAAGTGACTTTAGCTTCTTAGTGCTGCATTTACCCGCTGCACCACAAGGAAGGGAGGCCCATTGTGAACTTTTTTGCTTTTTAGAAATCAGATCTATGACTAAAGTGGAGATAGTGACATTAATTTTGAATAGACTTAGTAATGCTGAATGAAAACTCTACTGTTCAGGAGCATTAGGCTGTTTGATGTTTAGCACTTTAAGTAGGTAACTGTTGAGCTAAATTATCTCATGTGAGTTTCCTTCAAGGTCTGAAAAACTTGCTTTACTTTGGGCTCCCGACATGCTATACTTCTTTAGATGTAACTGGGTTGAATATATTCTGTTCCTTTTTCTACTTGCCCCGATTTATATGAATTGCAGTCTCTGAAGTGTTTGCTTGTTTTACCACTGGGTGTCATAGAGCCCTTTGACATTTGGTCAAATGGTCCAACATGGACTTAAAAACATTTCATTGATATTACAACTATTTCTGGCCCTGATAGTTATTGCTTACAGCTGACCTCATCAAACCTATGTAGTACCAATTAACAATGCCCAATGCCCAATTAGGGATTCTGTCTGACTTTCAATTTTTGCTTCTTAAAAGTTTGGAACGAAAAGCATCTCTCTCTCTCTTTTTTTTTTTCCTGGATGGCAGGCATATGAAAAATGATGATGGCAGTGGAATGCTGGTTATCCTTTTTAAAGAATTTGAATTGATCACAATTAAAATTTTGAGTACACAGCAAAAAAGTATTTTCCACTTAATGTCTTCCAAAGAGAAATAGGATACGTCTTCCTAATGCCAGTTTTTAAAAATTAATTGCTATCATATTTTGAAAACTTCTAATAGGCCAGGCATTGAGATAAGCACTTTTACCTATTATATTTCATTTATTCTTCACACTGTTCTAATACTAAAGATTACTTTGCAGTGACCACTTTAAAGATGAGCATGAAATTTCCTTTTCTGAATCTCAGTCTTCTCTACAAAGAAAGTGATACGTGGAATTAGAAATTTTAAATCAGTAGTGATAGGTGGAATTAGAAATTTTAAATCAGTTTTGGTTAACTCATACTGTTATTACATTCAGTAATCTAACGATGTAATATGTTTATTTTACTTGCTTCCTCTCCTGTTGAGGTTTTGGTAATGAATAGTCATCATAGCTTGTCTTCTACTCAGTTTGATGAAAATCAGTTTATTATAAGATAAGGCTTCACTCTATTATGATGGTTTCTATCTGGGACAGAAGCTATCGCTAGAAGGTATAGCGGGTGGTAAAGAGGTACTATTTTGCTTCTGAGAGAAGGTGAACTTTAGTTTTCTGATTGCAAGAAAATCTAGGAGAAAGGAGGACTAATCAATATGGACCATAAACCTTAATAATCTACATCAGCAGAGGGGAAATTATTACTAAATTGGTCAAGCCCTTCTGTAGTTCTTCAATGCCTACATGATTAAACCTTCCTTGGCCATTTTGTTTGAGCCTTTGCCTGTTTGACTATGAGTAACAATGACAGGGCAGTAATAACTGAATAACCATTATTTATGGAACTGTCACTGTACATGAATGGTGGCAGATACAAACCGCTATTTATTTTAAAAGTAATTGCTTCCAAAGTGAAAATCATCTTTACAATATATGAAAGATGATAGTAATTAATGATCTAATTGATCATGGTAATCGTCTTCAGTTGTGAATTTTCAGGCACGTGGAATAAACCATTTATACACTACACTGCACACACACACACATTTAGTTCCTTAAATCAACCCCCTTATCATCATTTCACAATTGAGAATGCTGAGTCTCAAAGACAGTACATAACTTGCCCTATGTCACCCAAGTGGGTAGGGATGAAGATTGCACCTCTGGGACCTAAGCCTAGTGTGCTGAGCCAGTAAACTTAAATTCTTAAACTTTTTCTTCTTACTCTTTGGTGGTAGAGGTGGAGAATTGCCCTATTTGCTGCAGGTCCATCCCTGTCACAGGGATGCTTCATACGCTCAGCTTCCTTGCCAGATCCATAAAGATATTTGAATTTAGCAATTCAGGCTTAGGTCAGTTTATTCTTCCCAGGGGTGTTAAGAAATGAAGATTCCACAAACATTTTCCTTGAAATGTTTTTTATTCTGCCAAGATTTAAAAACTATTGCTTTCTTTTAATTAAAATCTCACGTACTCAACCCTAGTAATATATAGAGCAACTGCATAGAAGAATGTTGGTTTCTGTGAATACAGTTATTAAATATTCCCTTTGCATCTCATCTTTAAAACTCCCCAACCCCCATGTAATTCAGTCTTGCCTTTGACGTCTCAGATGGCTGACAGGTAGTTAGCTCCTCTGACTGGCAGATTGGTGCCTCTGCCACTTGGGGATATCATTACGCAGTAAAATTAATATCTCTGGCCTGGATTTATCTACATCTTTTGACACTCAAAAGAGCAGGGGAATGAATGCCATGCTTTCCCTTGAGATGGCTAAGTATTAGATTAAACTGGCAGGAACTATTTGAATGCTCTCAAAAAAAAAAAAAAAACAAATTTTATCTTTAAGCATACCACTTTTTAAAAACTTTATCTAAAGTAATTGATTAGTAATGTGAAATAATGTTTTTAAAGTTCTTTATTGTCTTCATTTCCAAAGTTGGTTTGAGAGACCAATGTTGTTACCACTTGTCACATTCCTAAAAAAAAAGTACAGAAAATCAACTGCCCTCCTTGCATTTTCTTTTTCAGATGCAAAGGAAATTGTTTTAAAAGCCCAGATCTTAGCTGGAGGAAGAGGAAAAGGTGTCTTCAGTAGTGGTTTGAAAGGTGGTGTTCATTTAACAAAAGAGTAAGTCTTTTTTTTTTTAAAGGATGTATTTATTTATGCATACAGAACTGGGGTGCAGGTCAGAGGTACAGGAGGTGAGAGGATTCACCAGAGAGAGTGGTTAACAGAACAGGCAGTACACTGTTGAGGGGAGAAGCGGGCGAGGCAGGAGAGGTCTGCTGGACCAAGTGGGTCACCTCCCAGTCCTGGGAGGGAGGAGATTGAACTCATGCTGAAACCACTGTGGACAGCTCCACAGTACTGTGCTTTAACCCATTGGGCTACCAAGGAGGGCCCAAAAAGAGTAAGTCTTTAATCCTTATCTTTGAGCCAAGCAAGATCTTGCTTAAGAATGAGAGTAGCACTGACAAGGAATAATAGGATGTGTGTAGAAGTAGCAGATTGTAAATAGAAAAAATAATAATAATAGGCACAATGTTCATGCAGCTTTTCTTCTGCTTCCTAAAAGATTTTTCTTCACTACCTTGATGAAACTTGACATTTCTCTCCTAGATTATCAATGAATCGTTATGAATGTTGGCATTGATGCTGTTCCAGATTCAGTGCTACTTCCATTACATCATCCCCTCAATCAGGAAATTGCACTGGTTCCCCATTTTCAGGGCCCTCAGTTGTTCCTCCTCCCTTCTTCTCTGAACCTGTGTAGTCAGCTTTATTTCCCATTCTTCCACATTAGCACACTCCTTCCGTCTCTCTCATGTTGTTTCATTACTTTCCTGCTTGCACTTTCCATAGCTCCTCAAGGACAATAGCAAGTCCTCTAATAACATCCCTCTCCTCAGCCTTATTTCTTATACTGTCGATGAAGGAAAAAAAAAAAACAATCCACTCCTGGCTCAGCCAGGACCAGTGTGTGGAATGTGCAAGTTCTCCTTTCATCTGGGTGGGTTTTCTTCAGGACTCAGGTTTCCTCCTGCTGACAAATGATCAAGCTCTTTGGCTTGTGCCCAGAAAGCCAAACTCTGAATCACAAGAATATCTTCCCATAAAGGAGTTAACTTTGAGGTGGGCATCAAGGGAGTCAGTGGCATAGGTACCCCAACCTCACCGGATGGAAGGAGTGCTGGGATTTTATAAAAGGCTCAGGAATGTGAGGGAGTGTAGGGCTTCACACTTCCAGGTCACAGGAGGTGCTGTGCATCCCAAGGACAGGAGTGAAGGTGTTCACTTTCCCAATATGGTGTTTTCTCAGGAGGCAGCAGATATTCCTGATGCCTCTGTCAGCCCCAAGAGGGAACACAGAGAATTTATTAGTGATGTAACACAAAAACTTCTCAGGAGTGCAGATGAAACTAGATAACAATTAATCATAAAGAGGGGACGTTCAAATGCAGATTGAGGAGCACCTTAGGACCCCCAAACTTGTATGCTCCAAAATCGTCTTGCCATCTATTTCACAAAGACAAAGCATTTTCTTAGTACGTAAGAACTTCAACAGATCAGTGTGCAGAGAAATGGAAGAAGAGAAATGAGAGTTTCCCAAAGGAACTTCCAAAGTTACCCATCCCCTTGGGAAATGCAAACAGAGTTGCCCCAACTCTGCTAAGGCCCAAAAGCTTGCCACAAAGTCTAAAGCACCTTCTGGCAGGGAAGCACAGGAAAGGGACAGAAGAGGACAGTTAAATGTGGAATGAAAGCACAAATTGAGTGGAGGTTGCCATTGTCAGCCTCTCCACGGCCTCCCATCATGTGCTCTTCCAAGTCTTTGTATGTCTTGACTCCTCTTGTCGCTTTCCATCTCCCTCTGCTCCCAAGTGCAAGTCTAAAGCCCAGAAGCAAGCGGGGCTCCTTCACATATCTCTCTGCTCCATGTATTTCCTCCAAACTCCAAGTCTCTTCTCCCATCTTTTCTAGCCTGCTCCTGCTGCTCAGCCCCACCCTTCAAAGATGGGCTGGGAACCTCTATTTTGTATCAACATTCTTCTGTTACATGAATAGGGGTGCCTTTCAATGAATTAATAGTTAATCCTAGTAAGGGATTGCAATTTAGGGAGTTAATTGCTCTCAAGAGAGAATGCAGTTCAGTGGTTCGACTTTAATTCTACTTATGCCTCCGTTTTAACCTAGTAGTGTTTTCTGCTGAACAATGAAGGGTGATCAGGCTACACTCTCCCACCCCACAGATGTGAATGTAGGGGTCATTGGTGCATCTCAGTTGTCCCAGTGGGAGTGACTGTGAGAGCATCATATGGAGGAAAGACATCCTGTCCAGGGCTGGGTTCTGCTTGAGCCTTGAGCTACCAGGGTGGACTCTGGCTACTTGTGACGTTGAACTCAAGTAAGCAGATTAGAAATGAACGACTAAATGAATGAACGCAAATGATTGTTGAAAATTAAAAGTGTCCCTTCCTTTCCTTTCTACCCTCTTTTCTTTCGCTTTCATTCACATGTTTTACTCCCACTGAATCTCTGTTACTATACATAGTATATGAGCAGAAAATCTTGCGAGTCATGTGAGGCTGAGGGTTGATCCTACACAGTGTGCACATGATGATAATAGTATAGACTCTGTATTGAAATGATTTTCAACATAAGCATTGATTTTCTTTTCTTTCTTCTCTAACCCCCTCTTTCTCGTAGCCCTAAAGTTGTAGAGCAACTGGCAAAACAGATGATTGGATATAATCTGGCCACAAAACAAACGCCAAAAGAAGGTGTAAAAGTTAAAAAGGTAAATGATTTTGGTCATTTTTTATGTAGTTAGAAAAAAAGAAAAATCATAGTTTGGTTTTGATAATCTAAGGATGCAGTGATTTGGCGATGCCCTATAATTAAACTTCTTACAATCTCTTTAGCATGTGCTGTGACCTTGAGGAGAAAAAAAAAATGGTCTTATGTGGCCATATTTTTATGACCAGAAGCATGTAGTAACAGTAGGTGGGGGTGAGTGATTAACTTTCAGGACATATACACCTTCTGGTCTGTTGAAACTGTACTAGGCTTAGTCTGACCATTTTAATTCTCTGACAGGGACGTTGTCTGCTCTCCTACAGTATCACCATTGTTTTTCGTATCAAAAATTACCTGCAAGAATCTTTATTTTTAAGTGACCATTGAGATTGCCACTGTTTTATATCGTGGTTATTGCTATGTGCATATTGAATCACAGAGATCTGTTGGGGCACCCAAGGATATATTAAATGGGATGCACATAGCAGGCATGCACATGGGCATCGTATGCACACACACACACACACACACACACACTCACACTCAGGTAAAATAATGCAGAGTGGCCTGCCTCAGAAATGAGATTGGGAGTGACAGAGCTGAGGCTGTGATCTAACCCTCCCTCCTATTAGTCTGTTCACATTGGATATGTCTTCCTACTCCATTCCTCTTCCCAGTGCCAGAACTGACTACCTGATTTACAGAACCCAGTGCCAAACAAAAATGTAGGACCCTTGTTCAAAAGGCAGGTCAACTACAAAAGAACCTCAAACTGAGAGGCCAAATGTATGGGCACTGTGTAGTGACATTGGCTCATTCCTCCAGCTGGAAGGCCCCCCGGGGTGAGAGACTCCACCTACCCATATCAATGAATGAGGTTGTATCACCCTGGGCTCCTGCACAGAGTAGTGTTCTCCATTAGTTTGCTTTGTTTGGGGGCATTGAGGCATAGTATATCAGAGAGAATTTTATGGAAAATTCTTGACATGATTTAAAATGTTGACTGGCTCCTAGTGGATCCTAGGTCAGACGGTGTGTGTTGACTCCCAAGAGACACTGAGCTGGGGAGAATTGTAGTCCTGTGGGATATTTGCTTCTTCATTCCAAGAATAAAGATGTTCTAAATGTTGAGAATCAAAGAATTAAAATTGATTATGGCTATGTCTCTTTCTTGTTGCCTCTTAGGTAGATGCAAGAATTGTTTAAATTGCAAAAATATTTTTCGTGTTTTTCTTTAGCCTGGCCTGCATATTTATTTCCATTTTATTTTATTTTATTTTATCTTTAAAAATTTATTTATTTATGCATACAGAACTGGGGGTGCAGTGGGTTGGAGGATTCATCAGAGACAGAGTGGAGAGCAGAACAGGCCCACTGATGAGGTTCACTGCCAAGGGAAGCAATGGGCGGGTCAGGAGAGAGCTGCTGCTCCATGTGGGTCACCTCCAGAGTGGGGATCAAATCATGCTAGAGTGGCTTTAACTTCTTAGTGCTGTGCTTTAACCTTCTGTGTCACTAGGGAGGACCCTATTTCTCTTTTAAATCTGATTATGAATTCTTACCTGTATAACTTCTTCAAAACTTGTCCACAGAGAACAGAATTGGTATTTTTGTTTGTAGGAATTCGTTGTTTTGCATGGACACTTGGGATATTAGATTAGAGTTTGTGGTATGTTTTAAAAGCACATAAAAATTCGCAAAGCAGATTCACACTATATAGTTATGCATAAAATTAGTTTGTAGATAGGTTTCTGAAAGGAGGTAAATGTGTTCTTGTAACTTGAGTCATTGCCAGGAAACTACTGGAGTGATTTATTTTTTAGTAAGACTTTTCTTATTGCAAAAGTTATTAACTTGTTGAAAATTCCGACAGTACAGAAATTTAAAAATTGGAGAGAAAAATTGCTGTTTTTCCCCTCCCAGAAATAATTTTTCCATATTGTTTCTTTCCCTTTCTGTGTAAAATATCTATTACCATGTTTTGCAATCATAATGTTATATATCACTCAGGGAAAAAAAAATTTGCTTATGACATTTGTGGCATCAATCTGAAGTCTCCATATTATCAAAACTTTAGATATCTTAGATTATCCGAGGAACTGTTTACATGCACATATAATTTAGACACATTGGATGTATATACTTTTTAATCTGTGTTGATACATTAGTGATGTGTCCCTGGGATAGTCATTGGAAGGTGAGAAAATGCTCCTAACACTTGCTTGCACAGTTCAATGCTAGTAATGTTTCTTGCTCTGCCTTAGGTAGTCAAACACAGAATATATTTGTTTTATCTAATCATAGTCCTATTCCAGATAAATTTTGTGCAATAGGACTCATTCATAGGCCACAATTGAAAGGATGATGTTAGAAAGGAAAGTAGGTTCAATTAGGTAAAATAGTAAAGCTCTTTCTTTACTGGTGGACTCTATACAAGACTTGTTGATATTCTTTGTCAGTCATAGATTAAGGTTTGGGGGACTGTATCTAACTGAACTTTTTATGGCATGTGGGTTCATGGAGTCTATTTAGATTCTTTCAAATAATTCATAAAAGTGTCTGACAGCCTGGGTCATATGCTGACTTAAAGTAACAAAACTGGTCTTTATATAAAAGTTCTTGAATTATCTATGTGTAATCTTTATTTTGCTGGAGATGTTTTCTTCAAGAGTGGTACATTATTTTTACTAAGCAGGAACTGTTTGAAACAGCAGCTGGTCTGTGCAAATAAAAATTTGATGGAATGTAGAGCACATCTGTCAACATTTTAGAAGATTAAGAATAGGACTCTTGAATGACACTTATCCTAAAAAGTTATAGTGTTGTGTTACTTCTAAGAATACTTACTGAAAGTCATTAAATTTTGTTCCCTAGACAATTTCTATATTAGAAAATGAACTTAAAATCACAGTGGTTCTATGATAATCTAACCCTATGTGCCAAGAAATATTTCTTACATACACATGAGCTTTTACCATTGATGATATAATAATCCGTATGAAATCCCTTCTGAAAGTATTTCAATTTTTAACTGATGATAACATTCCATAAAAGCTTTCAAAGGAATTTTGTGTTCATTATATTATAGCCTTTTAGTTCATCATGTTACTTATCCCATTTTATGTGACTTAAAATGTAGTATTTTGCGGCATGTGGATAGCTAAAATCTAATGCTATTTAATTCATAACTTTATTTTTTGGAGAAAACTATTATTGAAACACTCTTAGGTAAAGCAATGTAAATGCTTTTGTTATTTTCACTTCTAGAACTGATTATTTATAAAGCATTCTTATTATCTTTTAAAAATTATTCAAGACATCTCTTATCATTTTTGTTGGGAATGTAATTTGGTATAGCCCTTCTCAGGGCATTTGGATAGTACTTCACAAAAATTTAAATATAAGGAGTCTAAAAACCTTAGCTATTTTACTTTTAGATAGCTATCTACAGGGATAGTAAAAAACAAATGAGCAAAGATACATGTACAGAAATTATCACTAAAGTAGCATTTTAGAGATGTGTAAGTACCTTTACATGTCAGTAGGGACATGATTGAATAATGACATGTAACTACCACATAGTAACAGTGGAAAGAGAGAGAGGGTACCTTGAATAGATGACCAAGTTGTAATAGGAAGATTAAAAGAAAAGACCTTTGTGATTGTTTATTATGTATCCATGTACAAGATTATTCCATTGCTGTAATGTGTACAAAGGCTTAGAAAAGAGCATAAAAGCTGGTAATGGTTTTCCCTGGTGTAGCTGCTGCATAAACTTGCTGAGACTGTGGAACAGCAGAAGCTCTGTGACTGAGGTCAAGTGTGAGGAATAACATTCTTCTTTCCTATGAGTCACTTGCTCTGTGATGGTCCTGGCTTTGGCTTGCTTCTGTAAGAGAAGGGGCAATTTTCAAATGATCACAAACGCTCCATATGGGCTCAGGAACACCATGACTACTGGAGTCTAAGGCGTGGGTATGTGCAGCAGGGGGCTTCTCTCAAAGTTGTATTTATATTCTCTTGGTATCATTTGTATTATTTTTGAACAAGCAAACATTATGCTTGTAATTTAATAGAAAGTATAAATTGAAATGAAAACACAGTGATCCAAGAGACAGAAGTAGAGAAACACATGAAGCATCAGATATACTGTAAAAAGAACTCGTTGGCATACAGGCCTGGTTTTCTACCAGTGCGATTGAAGACAAATCAGTATATATACATATGTACTGTAATGCTTCAAATTAAAATAACAGCTGCTTCCATGGAGTTTTTTTTTTTTTTAAGTGTCAGTTTTTCAAGATAAAAAGAGAGATTAAGGTGGGAAGGTTCCTTGAGGCAAACCAAAATATCTGTCACTTCAGCAAGTTAAGAGGATCAATTAAGATGATGAAAATGGACATCGGGCACTATGAGAGCAGGACTGTCAGATCTCTGAAGTTAACTCACTGGTTTAAAAGAGCTTGAAATAAAGCTGTTTGATTTGTGTGGCAAGTTTGTATAGATTTTCAAGTAGAAACTAGTTTGATGCTGAATTAATTTGGCTTTCTCACTAATGTGGTAGGTGATGGTTGCTGAAGCTTTGGACATTTCCAGAGAAACCTACTTGGCGATTTTGATGGACAGAAGTTGCAATGGTCCGGTAATGGTGGGAAGCCCTCAGGGGGGCGTTGACATTGAAGAAGTAGCAGCTTCAAATCCAGAACTTATTTTTAAGGTATGTTTAGATTTCTTCCTATACTCTGTCCATTGATTGTTGTTGTAGAGCTGTTTAAGATTTAATGTGGACTCTAAGGCTCGTAGCAGTATGTCTACTTCTGGGATTTAAGGCATGATGAAGCTGAATTCTTTTTTCTTAATGGATGTCCAGTTGAATGTCAAGTAGAACCAAGGTATTTACTCTTGAAGGTTTTTCCTTTGCTTTTTCCTACCTTCCTTCCATTTTTTTCTGTTGTTTTACTTTGATTTCATTCTATTCCCCTGGCCTAAGAATTAACTAATGGGAGAGAATATTCTATTTCTATTTTTTCTTGGTTAATTCTAACCCATATGGGTGTATGTGTGATGTAGAAATTCTCTGCTAGGAGAGCACATATGAACTGGAGGCTACCTTGAAATTTTTTAATGCTACTGATAAAACCTTACATGATCCAGATTCTATCAGTTTGTTTCTATCCTGGCAGTCTTCTCCTTTTTATTGATATTAAATCTAGCATTTAGTAAAATAGACCTGAGGTCGAATTCTGATTAGCCAGCAAGTTTCTCAGTGGCACTGAGTTTCATTTTTTGAATTAGTAGAATGCAAAATAGTAGGTAGGATTGTGAGGATTAAGTGAGGAGATATATCTAAAGTGCCACTTAACCTAGTTTGGCTATATGAAAAAATAATCTAAGACCTTTAGAACCACATTGTCAGTCTTTTTAAATTATTAGTGTAAAAAAATTACATTAAAATTCTCTAGATGTTCTCTAGAAGTTCATTATTTCTTTTAGAAATTTCCCTTTAAAAGGTGCAAATTTTATTTATTGAACTTCTCAGTTTAGTAAGGTACTGGTGATTTGATTATTCGTTTGAAACTATTTTACCTGTGTTACATAATTAAGATAACTAGCTGGGAAATTAAATTGAAATTTTCATGCTAATTTTCCAACAATAATATGATTTAGAACAAGACATTCCATTTGTTAAGAGACTACACGGTAATGTATATGCCGAGGTCAGTATCATTGATAGTATGACACATTGTAGAGCTAGGGAATATTATTAATTACCATGATCAATAGGATGATTTAAACATAAGTTGATGTTTAACATTTATTTGGTGAGCTTTAAACTTAACCAGGAGATTAAGCAGGAAAACCTTATTTTGGAAAGCTTCCAAAAGATGTCATGAAAATTTACTGTCTAAATATTCGTCAATGCCATCTGTATGGTAATTAAAAGTGAAAACTGGCATCTGATTGTCTTGTCAGCATGCCACCATGAAGAATTATATAGGTTTGGAAAGGCTGTTTTGTAGATGGTCTGCTAATTAAAACATACCCCATAGGCAACCATAGTGTCCTGCCCAGGGATCTCTGGAAAGGTGCCATAATTTAATTACTCGTTTGCAAATAAATAACAAGCATTTTCTTTTAAGGTTGTAAATCTTCTTACTTGAAGGTCTAAATTTTGTTTACTTGATTCATTTTACTTAGGAACAAATTGACATTATTGAAGGGATAAAGGACAGTCAAGCTCAGCAGATGGCAGAGAATCTAGGCTTCCTCGGGCCTTTGAAAAATCAGGTATGTGAATGATTGGAGACCAGTGTGTCTGACTTGTTTTAGAAAACATTTGGGAATGTACTGAGTTGCATCTAATATTTGTGATTAACAGGATACAGGATTATGTTTTGTTTTTTAAGTTTTTTCCCCCCAATTATTTTGATAAGAAACATTTCTTTGGTATTGCAGAGAGGATGTTTATGACTTGTGTATATGTGTGTGTCACAGGCAGACAAGTGTGTCTTGTTATGTTTATTTTTTTCCATGGCATTGCAGCTCCATTCAGTGACTTATAACAAGTGGCTTAGTGCTTGGAAGCATGGTCCTAGAATCAGACAATCCTGAGTTCAATGGTCTGCCTTTTACCAGGAGTGTGTTTGGCCCAGCTAAACATCAGTTTAATGATCTGTAAAACTGAGCTAATGAAATCCTGTCTTTGAGGGTTATTGTGAGGATTAAGTACAAAGATATCTGAATGTGCTTATTCAGTAATTAAAAAAACTTAGATATATTGTCATTAACAATGCAAATTCTTAACTAATTGCTTTTTTTCAAGCTAATGGGCATTGGAGAGCAAGGTTAGTGATGTTTATTGAAACAACTTAAAATATGACAATTTAGTAATTATATCTATTGGTTGCAAAGACCGCAAAATTGTCCCCCAAGCTATTGGAAAGAGGCTGTTTGGAATTTCAGTCAGGCACTGCCCTTTTTAGTCCATGGGGCCTGATTGTAAGTCTACATAGCAAGCTTTCTTCTCTCATGACTACATCAGAAATTCCTGGCTATTTTTTCCTCTCCTATTACTAAAAGAAGCCTCCTTAGTAACCCTAGATCCTGTCTGTATTTGTGTGAGCGTGAGCATGTGTGTGTGTGTGTGTGTGTGTGTGTGTGTGTGTGTTCACCTAAGACTCCAGGATGGACACAGAGCATTTAATTTAGTTGGGCAGCACTCCTTTAATAAAACAGTAGATTATGTACTCTTTTCTGCCTATATTTTCCTTTTTATTGTTTCTATCAAGTTGAATAAAATGATGAAGCTGAATAAAATTTTAAAAATATGTTAATGAAGAGAGGGCAGCACTTATTTGACTATGGGAAGAAAGCAAAAGGTTTCCCTAGGAAAGCGAAAGATCCAAATGACAGAAGGAGATCGGATCATCTGGGACTAAACTTCAGCAAATTAGAAGTAGAAATCAGTGAACTATTAGAAAAAAAAAATTTTTCCCCCCCTGAGACTGGCAAAGAGATAAGAGAGTAGTCATCTGGGGAAAAGAAGTTACTGAATGATTTCTGGGTACAGGCTGAAGTGATTGGTTTATCCTTCTGAGAATGAGGCCACTAAATGCATTTGCTGTTCAACTGACATTTATTAAGAGGGTTCCTGTATAGGAGTGATGGTCATTGAGGGCCACTAGCCCATATAGTTACTGTTTTTTAGATACTCTGATCCATAGTCAGCTTCAAAAAGTGATAAGTAATCCTTCAGACATTCTGTATATTCCTTTGCACATCTCAACTTCTCTTAGTCATTTGAAGTCACTTATCTGGATGTTAATATGCACCACTGGAGGCACTTTGTCGATCTTGTTCACTGCTGTCTAGCTGACACAGTGTTTGGCAGCTATATTAGTTGCCAAGAGGCATCTGTCACATGTGTGAAACAACACATAGATGTCCACTTCGCAGAGATTCCTAGGGAGTCAGTGATCCATAGCTGTAAGTAGCAGCAGTGTGCAAATAGGCACCATGTGATTTTCAGTCTCAGGAGGTGAACATAACAAAGAGATTTAAAAATGTAAGCACAAGACAATGCACCCCAATCTGTAAGAGAAATTAACTGTTGCTTATAAAGCTCTCAAATGACTGAATCATGTTTTCCCAGTACTTCAAACACTCTTTATAAAGATTTATTTATGTTTGTATGTGGAACTGTGTTAACAGGCAAGAAGTGCAGGGATGGTGAGGGGATTCTCCAGAAACAGAGTGGGGAGCAGAAAAAGCAGATTGATGAAGTACACTGCCGAGGGGAGCAGTGGGCAGGACTGGAGAGGTCTGCCGTGCCATGTGGGTCACCTCTTTGGCCTGGGATCGAAATTACGCTAAGGCACGTGTGGCCAGTTTCGCAGCACTGTGCCTTACCCTGTTGTGACACCGGGGAGTGTCCACTTCAGACACGTGTAAGTGAGTCAAATGTGGAAGGATTGTCTGGTGTCTTCAGTAGTTATAATCATTCTTAGCTTAACTTATTGAAGAAAGCCAAAACTATTTTTAATTTCTTTCTTCCTCCTTTGTTCTACTGCTGACTATATGAAAAACTAAATCTTCCTCCGCTCAGTAAATGAGCACTAACCAGGTGCTATTCAGTCTGCGGGGCCTTGAGGACATGGGCAATGGGTTGTAGCCATCAGTCTCCAAAGGCTCCCAGAGCAGTGGTCAGTGCTTGTAGTGAGTACAGGAAGAGGGAACGTGAAAGAGAGAGAATGTGGGGGCACCTCGGTTATAGATGGTCACATAAGGCCAGCGAGTGTACAGTAGCTGGCACTCTAGCTCAGGCAGAATGCATTGGATTTGAGATTTGCAACTCTTCCCCTCAAGCCGGAGATTGGATAAAATGTTTTAGAAAGTCAGTGTATGAGGAGAGGACACACTTGAGAAAAAAATATATTTACTGATTGATTGGTAGTCCTCTCAATCAAGAAATGGTTAATAGGTTCCTTAGATTCAGTTTGATTTGAAAGTTACTTATTTTTCATGTAGGACATAGTTTAAACTTTTGAGGCAACTCCTTCATGTATGAACAACTGACAAGCTGACTGTCTTTTACAATTATTAATATATTTTTTGACTCATGCCTCTTTTCTCTGAAATATGGTTATTTATATTAGATTTAACAAAAATAAGCATACCGTGAATAACATGTCTAAAATGTGTTCTGATAAAACACCTTTTCACCCCAAGGATTTATTGAGAAGACAAAAGACTCTAGAAAAACCACACTAAGAATCGGAGAAAGACAAACTTTCTCCCGGCCTTGAATAGATATTAGACCTGAAGATTTCAGAAAAGTTGGAGAAGAGGATGAGGGGACAGGAGGGAAGAAGAGCACAGTGGTGTCTCTGAGAGGACTCTGGGATCTTTGGTGGTGGGCAAATTATGGTGACTACACCTGAGGGGAGAAGTCCTGTGTGTGAAAACAAACAAGGATGTTTAAAAAAAATGAAAATATTACAAAATGAGTAAAGTCAAGACAAAGCTTGACAAAGCCATGACTGAAAGCTCACAAGTTCTCAAGACTGTCTTAATTACTGTCTATGCTATTAATTTCTAAAATATAGACATTACGCATTATTAACACATTCTTCTAGAATGAAAGCTGATGGATAATCTGAGGGGGCAAATTAACACAGGTCATTCTGCCTCCAGCTGTTGTCTCTGCAGCTAACATTAAGAACCTTATTTGGGGCCCTCTCTGGTGGCGCAGTGGGTTAAAGCACAGCACTGCCAGCTAGCGGCAGCTGCTTCAGTGCTGATTGGATCCCGGCCCGGAAGTGATCCACATGGCGCGGCAGACCTCTCCTGTCTCCCCCGCTGCACCCCTCAGCCCTGTACGTCGTCGATCTGCCTGTTCTGTTCCCCATACTGCCTCTGGTGAATCCTCTCACCCTCCACATTTCTGACCTGTACCCCAGTTCTGTATGCATGAATAAATATTTAAAAAAGAACAGATGCTTCTGAAAATTAAAAAAAAAACTTATGTATAATTATTGAGATTAGTTATTGAAATTCAAAAAATCTTAACCTGTTAAAACATTTTTAGAAGATATTTTTAAATATGTTGGGTTCATGTATAGCTCCCCAGGGGTATTTGATCTTAGCATTTTAAATTTTATATTTATAACCAAAGTTGATAAAAAAAAAGTTGTATGTACTGGGGTTATAAACAGAAGTAGTAGTTGGCAATAACAAACGGGCAAACTGTAAGTTACCACAGCAATTTTTTTTTTTTTTTTACTTATTTGTAACTTATTTTGAACAGATTAGAAAACAAGGAAACTAACTTCAACTTCCTACAGGCCCTGCTATTTTTATTGTTATTCGTGGTCAGATTTTCAATAATTTAGTGTGTTGTCTCTGGAATAAAATTAAGGCACATTCTGTTTCCAAATCTGGCCGGTTCTCTCATGTAGATTTTATATCATCTATTTTATAACATGCATTCCTTATAGATCTGTAACACATGTATAATCATGTGTAAGCTCTGCTCCAAAAGAGTGTATATTCATTTTATACATCAATAAAGAATAATAATGACTGTCCCCCCAAATTCTGTGTAGTATATGCATTAGTTTCCCTTTATCCACAGGAGTCCTTCCCATGGAACTGGACAGTACCAAACACTAAATGTACTGTTTGTTTCCCATCTATAATATACCTATGATGAAGTTCAATTTACAAATTACGCAGAGAAAGAGAGTAACAACAATTAATAATAAAATTGAAAATGGAAAAATATATCATAATATTTCACAGGAGGGGAATGGGATCAAAAATGGGGGGACAGTCTATGGTGATGGCACATGGGTGAATTGGTGGTGGGAAGGCCACAGATTTACAACTGAGATGGAAAAAGGCACAAAATGATGTAAAAATAAACTATTATAATAATAAAAACAAAATATAATAAAAGTCAGATGATTCTTTCTCATTATATGTAGTATTTTTAGACAAAGGTTGACCACAGTTTAATTGAAAACATGAAAATTGAAACCTCAAGCCAGTGAGACACTATTGCAACTGTAGTGGCATTAATATGCAGAGGTTTTAGGCTTCACAGGAAGTTAGGTTGATAAAGTCTTAAGTTTGGAAGTGAGCCAGGTATCCACTGATGAATGAATAAATAAATAAAATGCAGTTCACAAAGATAATGTGAGGTTTTTCAGTCTTCAAAAGGAGGGAGTGTAATTCTGACATGTGCATCAGTATGAATGAATCTTGAGATACTGTGCTAAATGAAATTAGCCATCACAAAAGACAAATATGTAATATTTCACTTAACATGACACAAGTAGAATCACGAATTTCAAAGTGATAGAAAGTAGAAGGGTGAGTATCAGGAACTAGTAAGTGCTGAAGAGTGAGTTGTTAGCTAATACATAATTCTCTTTAAAAGGATTAAAACGTTTTTGGAGTTTTGCTGAACTACACCCTTAAAAATAGTTGAGATGGTGACTTTTATGTTATGTGTGTTTTTTAGAAAGGAAGTTTTAAAGTATCTCAGATAAGATTTGATAGATTTGTGTGGTAGAAAGGATGTAAAGGTTACTTCTGTCATATAGTTTCTCATTATCAATCAGTAATTCAGCCATTATTGACTAAGTTCTGTAGGAGCTCATACGTAGTTTTTTTTCTTTTTGCGTATAAGAGCTAGGTTTTAGGCCAGCGGTGTTGGGGGTGAGAGGATTCACCAGAGACAGAGTGGGGAGCAGAACAGTTGGATCTATTGAAATACACTGCTGAGGGGAGCAGTGGGTGAGACTGGAGAGGTCTGTCTGCTATGCTATATGTGGGTCAGCTCCCTGGCCAGAGATCAGTGTCAGGCCTTAGTGGTGATAGCACTGAGACTTAACCCCGATGCCCCCAAGGAGGTCCTAAATGCCACATTGTCCAGGGGAGATTCTGGCCCCCATGCAGCTCACATCAGAAGCTCATAATAACAACCAAGACAAAACAGAAGTCATTAGTGAGTTATTAACTTTAACTCTATTCAAATAAATTCAACTTGGATTAAATGAGTGTTTAAGAAAATCTAAGAGTACTTGAAAAACAATGGGAGAATTGTTTTAAATTCTCAGAGTGTGACCCAGCCTTTTTAAGGTCTGATACAAATCCAGGAGCCATAGAAGAAAACAATAACATTATTTTTAGCAGATTTCCATGTGGTCAAATTAACAAAAACATAGGCAAAAGATAAATACTAAGGGTGAAAAATAATTTGCAATTTATGTGATATAAATTTCCTTCATGTAAAAATACCTTATAAATTAATAATAAGAAGAACAAAATCTTTAGAGGAAAGCAGACAAAATTTACTGAAGAGGGAATACAAATGTTTTACAAGCACATAAAATAATGTTCAAACTGATAATGAGAAATTGAAATTACAACTCTGTATGAGATACACAGTTCAACTAACACGTTGACAATGATCCAGAAGCTGATGGTTGTGGTTTAGAACACTAATTCCTGATACTGGTTCCTAGAAGGGGAAATTAGGCACAGTTTCTACCAAGAACAGCTGAACAGAATCTTCTTTGATTTTAAATGCCCACACTTCTTTTTGTTCCAAGCTAGGAAATTTATCTTACAGATGTTTAATCACATGTATGATTTATATATGGAGTTAAAGCAACATTTTAAGTAATATGAAACTGATGGGACTAAATGAATGAAGATAGATATATATATGCACAATAAAATATTATGCAGTTATGTAAATGAATAACAATATTCTATTGTTTTTGCTAATGAAGACTCTCAAAATCTATTAGTAAAGAAATGAGGTATAGAACCAAGTTTTGTTTTTTAAGAACAATGGAAAAAGACTGTACATATTTGCATATCATAGAATATTTCTTAGTACCAACTGGTAATTTGGTTTTTGGAGGTGAAAAGCTGAGTACATGGGGATTTGGGATTTGGTGAGATTTCAAAGGGAGACTTTAGTGTGCTTTGGTGATTGTGTTATGTACATATATTACCTAACCACAAGAATTTTTTTTTTCTTATTATACATATTTACTTACTTATGTCCAGTAGTTTCAAATAGGGATTGGAAGAAGCTCTTAATTGTATGGAAAATAAATTAGGGTAATGTGAGTTTCATCCTCAGGAGTTCTTCAGTCACTGTTGGAACAAACAAACCACTCTCATTATTTTTAACAGTGTGGTTTTATTCTGGAGAGTTGTTACATATGTGCTCCAAGAGCTGAAAAGTATAAGAGTAGACAGAGAGGCAACAATAGCTAAATGACAATAGAAAATTGCTATTGCTTGCATGTTCCAGAAACAAGATGAGACCGTGGTGCTACTGGAACTTAGCTGGAGTCCTGGATGACTTCTCTGGTGGGAGGTGAAACCATCAGAGGAGATTCTGCCAAGGCAGAAAGAGGGGTAGAGATACCCCAACTTTTCCTTTCTGCCCACCTCCTTTCTCCTATGATGTCTTGCCATTGAATGAACTGAGTTGAAAGCTAGCTGGCCCAGGAAGCTTGGAAAGTCAGCCTCTAAGTGTCAGCTCCTCTGGCATGCAGAAACGGTCACTGGGAAAAGCTAGAAATAGATCTACGAGGAAATACTGAAGAGCTGGAACAAAAATAGGACAAAAAATAAGCAAATATATAGCAAGAAGAAAGTCATGGCCAACAAATAAAATGCAATGAAGAATGAGCCCAGTATCCAACATTCAGTGTGACTTCAGTCTGCTCTGTTATATCCAAAGTTGAGTTCACAGTAGCCTGCGAATGTCTTCCCAGGGCATGCCTCACTTACGATGTCTTTCCTACCACCAGCACACAAGATGCCAGTCTGTTGTAGCATAGCTAATTTTAATAATTCTGGTTTGAACAAAATGAATGAGTGAATTACAAGCAGAGTGGGGAAATGAAGTTGGAGTGTATACCATCAGACAGACTTTGGCTTTTCTGCCTTTTCTGCCTTTTAATGGGTTAGAGCTTTTGGGACCAAGTGTTTTTGAACAGTACTTTTCAGTAACTGTACTATTTAGGATTTGCATCTTCCTGATTTGCAACAATTTCTATTAGACACTGTAATTGTTTCACAGATTATAGGTTTGGACTGATGACTGTTTCATTCCAGTATAATAAGGGACAACAATGTTGTTATTGTAAATTCTCAAAATCATGTTTACCTTTTGCTTAAATGGAGCTTGTTTGTATTAATGATTGTAGTTTATACTCAGCTAATAATGACATGATAATTTACAAAAATATTAACAACATTTTTAGTCTATACTGCATATATTTTGTTGATAATGGTCTTTTTTGGTGTCTGGAGGAAATTTGAGCAATTGCTTTACTGAATAGCAGTAGATAATTAAAAGGAATGCTTTTCTGTTTTTCTTTAGAAAACTAAACTAAAAATAAAGACATCGTTTGTTATTTTTAAGATTTCATTAATTCAACAAAATAAATGTTCTTTTGCTGCTTTGGTGTAATTTCATTTTACTTGATCACATTTAGGCTGCAGATCAAATTAAGAAGCTGTATAATCTCTTCCTGAAAATTGATGCTACTCAGGTGGAAGTGAATCCTTTTGGTGAAACTCCAGAAGGACAAGGTAAAAAGAAAAGAAAAAACATATTAATATAATTGTTTATGCAAATTATAAATTTAATTGTACAAAAGACTGTAGAAACATTTTGCATTAATTTCTTTAAGTAATTTAACTTCTGCCATAGTTTCAAATGCTCCCAGGATTCAGTTGAACATTTCAACACCTTAATTTGTTTGTAGCTGATTGCCAAGTTTTAGAGGAAGCTACTTCTTGTTTTATTTAGAGATATTCCTCCACTATCCCACCTTTTTCAGGCCCCTCTTTGCTGCTATTGGCGTAAAGATTTGGGTGAGAATAGAAGCCGCTACACTGGGTTTAATGAATGCACCTGTTTTTATGGAACTGGATCTGTTTTGAAGCTTCTTAATTTGCCTCAATCTGTCATCACAGTGAAGCCCCCTGGTGCTTTACCATCCAGTTATTTCTCTTAACTTGGTCAGCAAATTCAGCTTAGGTGGAGTAAGGAGACATTTTTGTGGGGAGATTTATTCTGTCCATCAAGTAGCTGTAGAGAATCAAGTAGCTGTAGAGAATAGATGACCATTTTCTATATTAGTCCCACTACCATTGCCTTGTCTCTGAATTCAAATATTCAGTGAGGTCTTATTAATTTGATGGCAAAAGCTGAAGAATGTGTTTGGGGATGGACAGTGGGCTCCAAGGTGGATAAAAGTGTAATGCCAGGATGTAAGTTTCTCAAACCTTTGCTATTTAAAATATGTTTTACTCCTCACTGTCTTGAACCTGCTCTCTTAGATATTGTAGTCAGTCAGTAAATGAGGATTTGCCCTGGATTGGTAAATGAGCTGACTTATTAAATTTAAGTATGACCAAGTTGTAAGGACAGAGTACAATGTTTTCCCCTTAGTATTTTCAGTGACTGTTGACTCAGTTGCAGAGCTGGGTCAAACTTTAGCCTCAGACCTTTTTTTATTTTTAAATCTGAAAGAATAGTCAAAATGAAACACATTTTTTAGGGTGATTTTCAACATGAGGTGACTTTTATATATGTTAAGTATCCATTGCCAATCCCTTATATAAAATGTCATTCCTTTTCTTGGGTAGTAGAACAGTAGTCCAGAAGTAAATATTTCAGGTAAGAAGAGCCAAAATATCTCATGTTTAAGAAACAATTGAAAATAATGTATTTTGTGTTTTACACAAATGCCTACTAGATAAAAATATGAGTTAGGTCATTTATAAGCAGGCTGTATTTATAAATATGTTTAAAGAGGAGTCTGACTGTGAAGTCATCAGTATTTCCTAAAAAGAAGAAAGGAAAGGGACAAAACTATTTTTTGGGGTCTGTATTCCCAGCACTGTGATAAACTTTTGTATTCATTTTTCCTACTTGCTGTAACCTTGTTACCAGCACTGGGGCTCATAGTCAGCTGTGTCTGAATATAGTGTCATGTAATTGTGAGATGACAGATTGACTTATAGTGGCCTGCCACCTTTTCTACTTTTTCCTTCTTAAACTCTGAATTTGTCTTTATCAGAGTAAATCTATCTAATTTGGGAATCTCAGTTAAAATTCATGTTGCATTGAGTGGCCGATAATTAAATCTAAGAAATGAAAGAGAGGAAGTTCAATACAAGTCCGTAAAGATCATGTATTCCTTTTCAGCTAGTCTGCGCAAGCAACCTGGTTATTTCACATTCTAAAGAGAAAAAAGGGAAATTTGGCCATGGAAAATGATAAAATTCAGGCTGAAATACTGTTTTTATTCATTCCTTTAGGAATTTGTCAGTCAAGATTGTGGTCTGGCATCAGGGAACAGTGGTGTGAGAATCTTCTAGAGAATATTTATAAAACCTCATGAATTCTGAAGTTTTCTTCAAAATTATTCAGAGAAAGGACAATTTTGGAAAGAACAGTCATAAAATATATTCCAACTATTACAGGCCTTTCAAACATAAACCTTTTGTATATTTTTATAGCAGAATTATCTTTAGCTATTAATTTGTTCATTGTACCATAAAAGTTCATCAACTGAATTATAATTACAATTAAATGAGTGTGTTGGTTTATAACTCTAATGAGTGGTAGTCAAATTAGACCCAATTAGGAAAGGGTGATTAATAGCCAAATGTACAAATTGATTTTCCTCATTGTCACAATCCCCTAAAGCAATCTTTTCTATAATAGGAGCTAAAAAGCAATCATCTATATCTTAGCGGTTATTGATAATTTAAATATGTATTCCCTGAATATTAATATTTTTAATGTTATTTCCATTAGATCGGTCATAGAATACATAGCTTTTCATTGTAAAACTAATAATCGAGCTTTTAATTTAGAAGTTTAAGGAGCTTGATATTACCCAAAACAGGCCTACTTTATTCATGGCAGAGACTGTTAGAAACAGAATTTTTTTCAGTCTTACTTGGATTGATGGAAGCCAGGTGATTGATCATATAATTGCATGATAGATGATATTGATTGAAGGAGCAGCAGTGACCTTGATAACATCTGTGCTAGGTCATCCATGAGGATTTATGGCATCGAGAAATAGCTGCTGTTTAAGAGCTGATTTTTCCATGTGATTAATAATCTAATTCAAATAATATAATTTGGCATTATTGACTAGTATAATTCAGTGGACTATTAAGATGAAAATGGTTGGTAGTGACAGTAACTTTCATTGGCTCACTGTTTGCTAAAAAACAAAACAAAACAAAAAAACAAACCTCGTGGTGAGGGGTGAGATATATGTATTATAGCTAATTCATATAATGGGGAAATATGAATGCCTGGCTTAACGCATGAAGAGAATTAGGAATTATTTGGTTTTTCCACCTGCTTGCCTTTGCATGTTTTTTTTTTTTTTGGGTGCACTGGCCTGTCTAGAACTAACAGCAAAGATATTTCCCACTTTTCTTCACTCTTTTACAAGAAACCATAACAATCCTATGAAGTGATACTGATTGGCCCTGCTTTGGTAACATGTACATATCTAAATCACTTATTAAGCTCGAATAACATGGGATAGAACAAAGGAACATTGAATCAAAGCATGCCTAGATAGAGTGAACTTTTATTGAAATGAAAGTATACTTTTAAATAGTCAAGGCACTTTTATTTTGCTTGCTTCTCCAAATTGCAGTGCCAAAATAAGTCATTAAAACTGTGGCCAAGTAGACTCGAGGTTTTCTTTGTCATTATTTATTTATCTACCTGTCCATTCATTTATTTTGATACGCCATTGAGAGATTTTATATCCTACTTCATTTCTTACTACTTTCAGGGAGAGACATCCGTCTGCACAAACTCCTTTCTTTGGTATCTTTAGAATAATATTCCATTGGATATTTTATCATCTGGTAATGTTTGTCATTGTTTAGAGACTTTTTTAAAACCGATGTAACTGACATTTAGCATACTGATTTGATAAATGTATGTATTACAAAGTCATCACCACAGTGAATCTACTTAACATCTCTGTCTGTTTCTCACTACTTGGAGTGCAGAATGCTACTTCTAATGTCCAAAGACCAGAGATGCCACCAAATATCTTACAATGCACAGCACTACTCCGTAGTAGAAAATCATGTCCCTCATCTTTCAGTATTCCTGAGATCAAGAAACTCCCGCACTAATAAGCATGTTTGTCAGTATAGCCCAATCCATTCACTGATCTAACAACATGAAACCCAATCTAAAGCAGTTATGACATGGCCAAGATTGCCTAAGCTTTCAGGCCAGGTAGTCCAAAGTTAACTGGCACATTAAATCCCTTTCCTCAGATTAATTTCCCTAAATAACCACCCTGTTGCTTCGTGCTGGCAAGTACCCATGTTAGTGGTGGGTGTTTCTATCTATATACACAAGACTCTATTTTCAAGAACATTTTCAGTTTTCTACCTCCCCCTTGAATACCCCCACCCACCCCATGTCTATTTTCTCTTTTCACAGCAACTAAAGAAAAGTTCTCAAAAGTATACAACTCTTGGAGCATCAATATTTAATGGGAAGTGGGACTAATTTGAAAGTATCAGCATTTTAAGACCATCTTGGCAAGGCACATTTGTAGCACATTATGGTTATTTATCACAAATCAAATGCAGTACATTGCTTGAAGACAGATTATTTTTCAAACTAATTATGACAATCTTATTTCCTACTGTTTTTATGTTACTTTTATGTGTGAGTCTCCCATTTGAAATGTATTTTTCTTTTGTTTAATTCTGTGGCACATTCTTCTGTTAAAACTCTAGGGTCAAAGGCCTCTCTCTGCCAGTCATGTTCTTCATGGAAACTATGGAATTAGCAGCTCGTACCACTAAACAAAACAACAAAAACACCCTGTGAATTTAAGTACTGCAGCTTTCTTTGATATTTGTTCAGAAGAAAAATTCATTTGTATAATCTATCAAGCATGTAACAATGTGCTTTTGATGGTGAAAATTGTTTTATAAATATTAATAGGTGTATTTTATCACCTACTTTGTACACAGATTGGCCTTTGTTCAAGATGAATTTTCTATAAAATTGAGGTTTCATTAATGTGACATTGAAAATCTTAATGTCTGAACCAAGCTCAGGACCTCCAAAAACACATTATACCATAGATTTTGTTGCTGTTTGTTTCTTTGTTTCATTAAATGAAAAAGCTGAGGTTTGAGCAAGCAAGTTTATTTTATTGCCTTGCTGTTGACATAAACATCAATTCATTTTTACCCAGCGGTCCTGAAAGTTACTGGGAGGACTCTTAATAGGGGAAATAAACATGTTCAAATCCATCAATATTCAGGGGTAACTCCATTCCATTGTGCAAGTTGCACTTTTTTTTTTTTTTTTTACTTCGTGTTATATTTTCTTGTCTTCATGCCAGTAGGATGCACTTTTCTAAGTACCTGACAGATATGATACCTAGGGTTGATTGTGTCAGTTGTCAAAGCAGGATGCCAATGTAATGGGAACTGAGACTTACCAATGACTGGCAACCATTTTCTCTGAACGGCCAGTAAGTAAATAATTGGGATTGGCAGGCTCTGTAATATCTCTGTTGCAACTAATCTCTGCTGTTGCCTTGGGACAGCACCCACAGAAGTATGGAAACAAGTGGCTGTGACTGCTTTCTGTTACAACCGTATCACCAAAACTGGCAGTGAGTGGCCCTGAGGGTCGTAGTTTGCCCCTCCCCCCTCACTTAAGATTCTCATTTTGACCTCCTGTATATTGATCGTTAGCTATGCTGACCTTGTGTAAAGAACTGGTGTCATGAGGGTCACTAAAAGCATTTCTTTTCAATTTACTCTTGTAGTCAAAAATCTTTTCTCTTTCTTTTTTTTTTTTTAAGAGTTATTTATTTATTCATACAGAACTGGGGTACAGGCCAGAGATGCGGAGGGTGAGAGGATTCACCAAGGACAGAGTGGAGAGCAGAACAGGCAGATCGAGGAAGTACACTGCTGAGGGGAGCAGCGGGCAGGTTAGAAGAGGTCTGCTATGCCATGTGAATCTCCTCTGGAGCAGGCGGGGATCCAACTCATGCAGAAGTGGCTCAAACTTCTTAGAGCAGTGCTTTAACCGGCTGTGCCACCAGGGAGGGCCTTTTTTTGTTGTTATTTTAAAGCCTGAAATGCCAACTATTAAATTACTGCTGGTATGAAAAGTCTATGTATTCAGAAGATGGTGTTTTATTGAGAACCATGTGTGTGTTTGTGTGTGTGTGTGTAGATATATAAACTACTGTATGTATTAGTTTAGATTCATACTAAGTACAAGTCTGGAAATAAAAGTGAATGGGACAAAGAGCAGGTTACTTCTAGTGTAAGGAAATGAGCAAAATCTTATAGCCTAGTGGGAAACTGTAAGAAAGGACTGTACAGATAGGAGATGGTGGTGCTAATGCTAACAGCCGTGAGTGCCAGCTGTTTGTGAGGCTCTGTGCTTTGCCTGTCTTCTTCCATCAGTACTATGTAGTTAAAAGCACTGTGTTCTCCATTTTATAGACAAAGTCATTGAGCCTAAGAGAGATTATGGCTGACTAGCCGTTGGAGACAGAGTTGTATTAACACACAGGTGTTCTAGATGCCAGATTCTACATTAAGTGGTCAAGTTCAAGGGAAAAAAAATTAGTTGATACAACATGAAGACCAACACACTTTATGTTTGGGACTACTTTTAAAATAATTATTTAGCAGATATAACAAACGTGTGTGTAAGAGAGTCCACATGCCTTCTTAAATGCTTTAATTCGCTATCTCTCTCATCCTTGCCCCCAAAGATTTAGGTTTTGAAGGTGCCAACTTAGCTTTGGATCTGCTTAACTGAATTTTGATGGGTTCTTATGTGCTTTTCTCCCCAACAGCCCCTGCCATAGTAAGACCCTTCTAGGCACACTTCTAGAATGGGTGTAAGGCAACCTTACTTCCATTTAATATAGTATTTTTAATTTCCCAAAGGACTGGGACATGAATTCAGAGAGCTAGTCATTTAATTTTCTCTACAGAGAGGGAACAGTTTATCAAAGCATTATCATAGGTAGACCTTTTGTCTCAAAAACATGATACCTGTATTTGCACTTTTTATTCTACCTATTGATACCACTTATAACCCATAATCACCATTTTCAAGCTGTGGGTTAACTATAAAGTTCCCTCAAGGTGGTCCCCAAATGATGAACTCATTTCTGTACATGCAATATACATCATATCATGGGAAAGAGCATTTCTTGGAAATCTGACTTGGCAGGCAGTTAGTTGGTTCTGCCATCTGAACTTTGCATGCATATCCATTATTATTTTTTTTCTCTCTCTCTCTTAAGTAGCTTATAACTGTAGTCTCTGTAAGGGGCAAAGAGCAGCCTGGACTTATTTTGATTTACTGGCTTATTGATCTTAACTAATAATTCTTTTATTTGAAATTCTTCACTTAGGAAGTCAATTTGATAGCCTTTGCCCATTCATTTTGAAGGTGTCAGTTATAAGTAATCTTGCCAATGAGTAATGGAGTTGCTGAAATTACTAATAAATTAATTAAAATGTATTTATAAAAACAGTGGAAAGCCTAGAATGAGGTTGCTTTTGCATTGATTATTATAACAGTCATTAACTGCTGAGAAAATGCTGTTGTAGCAACCAGAAACACTGGTTGATTCCTTTGATAATTGTAGGATTCTATCATTAAGCCACTTCAGTATTCTGGAAAGTAATTACTCATTTGCTACATGTATTCACAGTGTGTGGGTAAGTGGTTGGACATTTTGTGGCAAGATTAAGGACTCAAGCAGACATTTACTTGCATATAAGCTACTCTCCTGTCAGTCAGTGCTACTTTAAGTAATTTGTGGGTTGGACTTTTATTTATGCAGAGTATTCTTAGATGTTAGTATACCAATTCTGCACAGGTTTGTAGCAAAGTGCTTGATAATTGTGTGAGAAAGACTCTTAAAAAAATCTTTTACTTCAGATCTTTAATCCCTAGATTCTATAATTTTACGATATTTTTTTCATCATGGGAAACACATGAAGAAACACAGACTATGGCATTGTTTTTGTCTGAAATATGCCAGGGTTATGTTCCCTTTAAAATGTTAGGGGTCTTATCGGCAATGCTGGGAGAGGATGGATAATACACCAAGTTCTTGGCAATAGACACCTGCCTGTCAATATCCTAAGTAAAGTAAAGAAGGCTGTGATGGCATGTCATGTGGAATTATATCTTTTATTTTAAGAAATATACTAAAAGAGATTTCAGATACCCGAAAGCAAGATGACCCTACTGCCTGTCTTTCCAAATTATTGACCTAGGAGTTTCTACTGTGCATATAGCATAGAGGTTTTGCTCTATCTCTATCACCCTATAAGCTTGCTGTGTGCAAGACTCTTGGACAATACAGTTGGCAATTTCTTCCAGCACCAGAGAGTGAAGACAGTTGTGGTGATGATGCCTTATTATATCTGACCAGTCTTGGAATGTTGTCTTTTATGGCTTGACTCAAGAGTCGTAAGGTAGTGCTACATGCATGAAGGTGGTGGGCCTAGTTTTAGCAGACCCCAAAGAATATCCCTCATCAGACTAAGGGTTGCGCTTTCCATCTTCCAGCTAAGAAAACAGGTCTGAGGGAGAATAGGTTACTTTTAGTACAGTTACAGAGTTAAAAATCAACTAAAAACTTGATTTTGGTCCAGTGTTTTTTCCAATAAATCTTTCAGAAGTAGTAGTTAAGATGTTAATTAAATAAAAATTACACTTTGCAACAACATGTGAATTGGTGGTGGGAAGTCCTTATGGATTACAACCTAGCTGGAAAAAGTGAACAAAATGAAGAACAATGTAAAAATGAATGAATAAATGAATGAATAACTTATAGATTCTTAAGAGATATTCAAGTATATTCCTGTTTTCCTTTAGTTGTCTGTTTTGATGCCAAGATAAACTTCGACGACAATGCAGAATTCCGACAAAAGGACATATTTGCTATGGATGACAAATCAGAGAATGAGCCCATTGAAAATGAAGCTGCCAGATATGATCTAAAATACATAGGATTGGATGGGAACATTGCATGCTTTGGTAAGAAAACAGTTCTGTCAAAAAATGCTCTTTGAGTTTTTCAGAAATTCATTTCTGAAATTTCAAAATCAAATTGACTTCTGAAATGTTATTTCTTGCTAGCAAGTCAAATATATATAATTCTTGTTTATTTTTGTTCTTTGTAGCCGAAAAAATCTTAGGAGAGAACCAAAATTTCTTCTTGAAGTTTATTTTAGTCAGTGGTCAGCGGTCACTGATTTAGTTTCTCAGTTTCTCAGCTTTGGTATTATTGACATTCTGGGCTAGACAATTCTTTGCTGTGGAGGACAGCCCTGTGCATTGTAAAATATGTAACAGTACCTCTGGCCTTTAGGTGCCACTAAGCTGCCTTGCAGTAATGATAACCCAAATGTTTCCAGATAATGCTAAGTATTATTTGATAGGCAAAATCACCCCAGAATTTAAACTTCATTTAGTAAAAATGAGAAGCTTTGATACTCCTGTGGATGTAAATATAATAGAAACTATTATGAAATTTGTGATTATGATAAAATTGTTTCGCAAGGAAGTAGAAGGCAGCATATATTATACTGCTTTGCATAATAGCCAAGTGAATGATAAAGTGTTTAATCTGTTATACAGGTTTATTAATAAAACAATTGATTTTATCATATTTGTCTAAGTTTGAGATAAGCATGGGTCTGTAGAAGCAATACATTTACTGTTGTTGTCTACTGCTTATAGTAGTGAGAGGCTTATATGCTTCTGTGTTTCTGATGGAACCAATTCATTGCACTAGAAACTTAGGTCTTTATTTTAATAGGATTTAAATACAAAAGATATGTGGCTCATTAAACCAAGAGTATCATTATAGTCAGAACTAAACAGACCTCATCCAATAGTTTGCTGTTCAATACAAAAGAAAATTACTTCCAATTACAAGTGATAACAAAAGCTCTTGCTTTGTATTGGAGCAATAACCTGATCACTTACATCATTCTGATCTTGATAAGCTCTTGTGCTCTCAGTATTTGTAGACATTTTAAAAAGGGAAGAATATAATGTTGTGTTTAGAACAAATTAAATACAGATTCCTAGCTATTTCTGTGGGAGTGTGCATGATTTGACCAAGTTAGCAGTCTCAAAAGCTACAATTAACACATTTAAATTTGTTTTAAGATTCTATTTAAATCATTTTTATTTTGCTTGCCCCGACTTACTTCAAATAAGTTTGTTCACAGGCTTTGTGTGGGGAATTCAAGCATCAGAAAAATTAAAGGACATATTACCTTAAGACTTTCTGTTTTGTTCAGGAGTCCCCCCCCTCCCCATCCCACAAACTGAGCTAAGTAAATTTATATAATTAAGTATAGGAAGCAAAATAAGTGTAATTGATTAATAAAACTTAACTCTGGAAAATGAGAATTTTGATGTGAAAAAACTCTTCAAAAGATCCTAAGATGTTGCTGTATTTTGGTTCTAGTTTTAATGATCAGGTTGCTTAGAGGATCACTGCTTACAGTAATTTGAAAACTTAACAGGGTAATAGGAATATTGCTGTGCTGCTGTCATTTGTTCCTTTGTTTTCTAAGTTTATCCAGATAACATGTACAAATTTGCACACAGACAGCATATCCATGATTGTAATAAGTACAGGAAACGTGGAACCCATTGAAGTTGGGACCCCTGTGGATCAACCCCAGAGGGATGCCATAATCAAAGGAAAATAGTCTCAGTGATCAAAAAATGGAAAGAAATTCAATCTTTATTGAGTCTCTTAAAGAATATTAAAAAGAATGCAATCCATGGGTCCTAACTACTTCTCATATCTTTATTCTGTCTTTCCCAATTCTTTGAAACTTTATACTTTATAGAACCTAAAACTCTTCTTCAACTACTGGTCTAAACTGATTACTTACTTACACTCTTCTTTCTGTTTCCCAGATTGATTTCTCAATAAATCCATCTTCCTGTTCTCAGGTATTTTTTTTTTTGGCTTATTTTTTGAATGTACTTTTACTGATTCTTTATCAAAGTCTACATATTTGTCTGGTTGAGCAGAATTACAAGCAGAACAGAAATTGACCTAGTAATAACAGGGTTCTTTTTGGGGCAATATGGGGAGGGAAAAAGTTTATGTACCTTTCCATGTTGCTAAATATATTCGGTTTTATGTGCCATTTGCATTGCACAGTGAATGGTGCCGGATTGGCCATGGCTACTTGTGATATCATTTTCCTGAACGGTGGAAAGCCAGCCAACTTTTTGGATCTTGGTGGTGGTGTAAAGGAATCACAAGTATATCAAGCATTCAAATTGCTCACCTCTGATCCTAAGGTAACCTCTTTGTAGGGAGATTATATAATATTCCCATTTCTCACCATCAATAACTGCTTTTCCTGCTTCTAAATTTTAATAAGCTTAATAGCCCTATATCCAAATCTCACCATATATAAAGTTGGAATACATAATGCTTTGCTCATCATGGGTGAGACTTGTAAGTGTTCCTGGATCTTATTCAGAATGTTATGATTACAAAGTTTTGGTAGGTGGGAGGAAATAAGAAAAAAAGAGGTGTAGTGCATGGAACAGTGAAACACTAATTGACATGAAGCAGTGTCTGGATAATTGATTAGTCTTAACATGGCTTAGAGAGGACTGAGTTTCAAATTCCTTTCATAAAGATCCTAAAGGTTATTATCATAAGATTGGAGAGTAAAGAAAGTTAGAGGTTTAAAATGGTATTTCAATGGAAAATATTGGTCCTAGTCTTTGTATGTTTATTAATTGTCATCTCTGGAAGTTATATATGTTAGTTTGTAATATGTATGCTAAGTACATGTAATATTTTTTCATATACATCCTTTTTTAAAACTAAAATGTAACTTTCACAACTATGACAGAGGCATAGTAGGTATTCAGTAAATATTCAATCATGTGAAATACTAAGATGCTTTGTTTCATTTCTATGTACTCATCATTTAGCATAACAAGATTTAGGTGGATATTTATTATATAGAAGATGCTATTTTGATATTCTAATGGTTCATGATGTAACTGAAGATATGAGTAATCTGGATCATCATTAAAAACATCATACATGACAATAATGCCAGAATATTTGAAAAAAGAAATGTGGTCTGAGCTTAATATGGAAACCTCACATTAATCAGTGTAATGGCAATAGACTTTTGAGGTTCACAAAGCAATATATGTTTTTTATTTGTACTATGCTTGTCTGTTTTCATTATGGCTTAGCTTGTGACCTCATGTTTTTGCTCTTTTCCTTCAGATATGAAAAACAAATAGTAAAATAGTTTTAGCTACTTATGTCTAGTTAACCAGTGCTATTCAGGAATGGCAGTTATTAAAATCCAAAGTCATCCACTCTTTACAAAAGTACTTGAGGTTATTTATTTCTGTTTTGTGATTGGTTAGTAGGAATATTATCAGTGACTTCCTATTCATTTATTATTTATCCTTTCATCCTACTCTTTGCTAAGGGAAGAATAATTTTCTTCCTGGAGATCTTCAGACTAACCAAACCTGTAAATACCATCGACATAACACATGATTCCTTAAACTACTTGAATCTCAGAGTACCCATGGGACAGGTAACTGTAATGAAATACTGAGCTTTTAGTATCTACTAAAATTCAGGCTACGAATAATAGAGAGCCATTTGGGAATTAAATCTACCAGGGCAATCATTGTGTTTTCTTTGGACCATCTTCTCTTAGCTGATTTTTACTTCTAATTTTATGGAAGTATAAGTGGGGATGAAAAATCACAAGCAGAGCCATTTTTTAAAAACAGTCTCTTCAAGAATTTTGATTTTACACTATGGAATATTTTTAAATGCTTGGTGTATTTAAACTTTTTTGAGATTGGTTGTCATCTTTAGTAGATAAAGGTATGTGGGAGTTATTTAATTTTTCTCATGCTAGAAGAGGAAAATGAATGCATAGCTCATCTCACGGTGTATTTTTCAAATCTTAAAATTTCAAAACCAGTAAAAAAACTTGGAAATATAATGGATATTTTCAATCCTGGCATTGTTTCACAGATTTCAGAAGAAAGAGGAAGGAAAAAAAAAAAACTATATAAAGGAATTGATTTGATTTTGCAAGGAAAATGGTTGTAGTTCGGTCAGTAATTATTTCAAGTAGAACCTCATCTGTCTGCCCAGAAGTAAGAGAGTCCCAAGAGACCAAAGCTAATTATTTCAAAGGTATTGATTTTCTTGTTAGATATACGGATTAGTTAGTTGAATACACCGAGCCTTGAAATTATAAAAGAACTGTTGTTGTTAAACTTAAATTAACTGATCTAGCAACTACTTGTTGATCACATATGTGACTAATTTTATTGATCAAGTATTAAATAATCATCTTTCAAGAAAAGATTATGATTGACATACATTTCCACTCATAATGTCAACCAAAGAACTAAAACATATATTTTTGCTTCACTATAAGCCCAAATATGATTTTCAGTGGGGCCTAACACAGTCCTATTTTAGTAATGTCTTCCTTCTTTGCCTGTAACACATAGCCTGCCAGACTGGGTAAAACAAGAATCTTTTCTTTCTTTCTTTCTTTTTTAAAGATTTATTTATTTATTTATGCATACAGAGCTGGGGTACAGGCTAGAGGTGCAGGGCCGGTGAGAGGATTCACCAGACACAGAGTGAGGAGCAAAACAGGCAGATTGACTAAGTACACTGCTGAGGGGAGCAGTGGGCGGATCAAGAGAGGACCACGCCATGTGGTCACCTCCGGGGCAGGCGGTAAGCGAACTCATGCAGAAGTGGCTTTAGATTCTCAGTGCTGTGCTTTAACCTGCTGCGCCACCAGGGAGGGCCTCTTTCTTTTTTTTAATGTATAGAGGGCACTCTGTTTTTGCTGCAGCCAACCTCGGTAACTGCTAAACAGAACTCACATTTATTATTAAGATGCAATAAATAGATGTTTGACAAAACAGAATACTTAAAAATCTCCATGCGATAGAGAAAATTAAAACATAAAATTATTATAAAGCAAGAGTCTTTTCAAGATAAATCACTCCGCTGGATTTATACGAACTATAACATAAAATATTTTGTAATTTTCTTATTTTCTAGTTGAAATTGAGATGTAAAAAGCAGTTGAGTTTTTCAGTGATGGTAGAATAGATCTGATCTTTTCTTCATTTTTAACTTACATAATTCTAGTCTTAAAAATCATAGGCCATCAAAATGATCTAAGACAAGAATTTCAAGTTTGTGGTAGGTAATCTGTTAAGAATTTAAACACATTTAAAGGAAAAGCACTGTAAAATGTTATGTTTTTATTTTCATGTATCATTCTTTGATTTTTATTTCTAATTCTAAACTTAGAATTCCAAAGGTATAAAAATGAGTACAACAACATCTGGAGTATGTAAAACATCTTGCACAAATGAATAAAAGAAAAAGACAGTTGACATGACTCTCAAAAGTCATGAGTTAGGCCAGAGTTAGGTAAATCTGTTTCCTTCTGTAGACTTGATTTTGGAAAACCATAGTATGTGCTTGGCATTGGTGAGGTCATTTTCCTTGATCTGACTGTTCCTGGTTTAGATCCACCTTTGAATCTTGTTTTCAAAGATTTTTCCATGCCCATGCACAAATGTGCTTCAGAAGCACGAAGTACCAGTTCAAGAAAACGGATTATTTGTGGGACTCTGTGCAGGACTACCTGGATATACCTTCTCTTTGTTATTTACTTAGTGACTGTGGTTCATTGAATTTGTTAATTCACTTCAGTGTATCTTAGTTCTCTCTCTTCATTATTAAAAAACATGATGACGGTACATTACCTAAGAGAGGCATTTTATTACATGAAACTTAGATCAAATTGTAGATGGTCTAATCAGTCACTGAGGCTACCAATGTTTTGTTCTCAGTTTGGAATTGTGGGAAATAAATGTTTGTTTAGCAAGCAACCCAGTCTGCGGTAGTTTGTTATACAAAAGCAGACCATGACAGCCACCGTCCCTTATGCCCCCCACCATGCCTCCTTTACCTTGCTTTCTCTCAAAGGTAGCTGTGATCATAACTTCTCATCTAACTTTATTTTGCCTTGTTTTGAGCGTAATACAAATGGAATCATGCTCTGTATTTTTTTTATGTTTTTCATTTTCACTTAACTTTCATTTGCAAGGCTCATCAACATTTTGGATAGCTGTGGTTCACTCATTCTATGAGAACTATTGCATCTCTCAGTTGATAGACATTTGTGTTATTGCCGGTCTTTATTATGAATGTTGTTGCTATGAGCATTCCTAAGTATGGCCTTTGGAGCACATTTTTCTGGTATAAATACTTGGAGCTAGAACTTTTGGATCACAGTGTTGCATATATTCAGCTTGAATTGATACTGCTGAACAGCTCTCCAGATGCACTAATTCACATTCTCAGAGCCCTGGATGGGAGTCCAGTTTCTGCACACCCTCACCAACATGTGATGCACTGTTCTATGTTAGTCATTCTGGTAAGCACTAGCTTATTTTGGTTTAATGCTTTTCCCTCATAACTAATAAGCTTGAATACCTTTTCTTGTATTTGTTAGCTGTCAGTATATGCTCCTCACATTCCTGTCACCTCATCTGTAAAATAAACCTCCACACGTTATCAGCTAATACAGTATATGTGTGTAAGATTCAATTTATAATGTTGTTTTCAGTGGCCAATTCCATTATAATCTGTAAAGCTCAGATTTAGAATTATTGGAACTTTAGGAAATAAAGTGTCATCTGTAGAAATGGGAGGTGTCTGAATCGGGTTCCTTGACATCAGTGATACTGCCTGTGCTACTTAGACACTGATAAAATATGTAAGCAATTTAGTAGCTTGCAATGATTTTTCAGACTCTCAAAAAAGCATACTTTAATGGATAATTAAAATGATCTTTGAAAGAACAAAAGAATATCATTTGATACATATTTGAGAAGATTCCAGCTTGTTTTTATTTTATTTATTTATTTATTTATTTTTGGTCTGTGGTATATACTTCAACAGTTTTTAGAATTAGAAGTAGAAAAGAAAATAACATACTTTATTTTTAGTATCAGATTTATGAAATATCTTGTTGTT